TTTTTTTTTTAATAGCTTGCCTCAATACTTATATTTTGATTTATTTGGCATTTAGTTTATTTTTGTGTTTTAAGACATTTAAAAGAAATTAAAAAAATAAATTTTTAGCCCAGTCAAGTTAACTCAATAAAGCTTTTTTAAATTTAATTTACAATAAAGCTTACCCTTATTTAATTAGCTAACTTGACTGGGCTAAAAATATATTTTTTTAATTTCTTTTAAATATCAACAAAACCAAAATAACTTAAATGCCAAATAAATAACCTATATGCCAAATATATCAAAATATAGGTACTGAGGTAAGCCATCCCTAAAAAAATGAAGCCAAAAAAAAAAAAAAAATTCGTTTTTAACTTTTTTATGGAATGTGCAATGACATCTTTATTTTTTTTTTGTAAAAAAAGCATATATGTAATACTCCTATATTGGCAGTAAGAGCTAGTACCGTCCGAAAACACTACAGTATGTACAGATATATCAATAAACACGTACGAAAGAAAATGAACACATACATTTATAAATAAACATGTACACAACCATTAGCGCACACAAGGGGTGGGTTTTGGGGTTCAAACCCCCCTAAAGCTAATAACCTCAAATACAATCTGTATCTTAAAGCTAAGAATCCAGCTCTCAAGGAAATTATAAGAAATATTTATTATAATTTCTGTTGCTTGAAAAAGCGCTTTGCTTTTGCTGTAAATTTTCATGAGGGAATAAATGTACGAGCATTTTTTTTCTTGAGAGCTGCAAACTGATTTAAGAAATTTGGGTAAAAGAAAATTTCTTTTCCATTTCTCGTCCGTCGTTTTATATGAATTTTTCGTTTTTCTTGAGAGTTCAGTTAATTTTTTCGGTATTTGAAATATTAAAAAAATTTAGCAATCGTGAAATCGAAAAAATGAACATAGAAGTGCAAAAATTCATGGAACCAATAAATTTATTTTTACTGACTCTTTTCTAAAATTTTTTATTAGGTACTTTTGAAAGTTGAGCGCATCTTGAGTTTATAGAACTTTTTATTAAGCAAGTAGTTTTTAAGGAAAGAACACAACCGACTTCATATTCAAATTTAGGGGTACCGTTAATTTCTTCATGATCCAATCCTCGGTTGAGGTACTATCTTTCTAATAAAAAAAGGATTATTGAAAACTGTTCACGTGGTCCAAAGTTATGTATTACATACTGTACATAAAACTTGCATAAATATATATTAAAGAGGGTATTATCTGAAGCAAATTTTCAGTAATTTCCGGTGATAAATCTTCAGAAATATAAAACCCCCCTAAAATATATTCCTGGGTGCTCCCCTGTACACAACACATATACAATAAGTAAGAAAGACTAAGTTCGGGCAGAGCCGAACATTAAATACCCGGCGCAAGTATTAAATATATGTTTTTTCACCTTTCCGAAAGCAACCGCTACAAGGTAAGCCCGGGTGCATCAATTTAATTAAATTGGCGTCCTTAAATTTCGAAATATTTAAGTTTCAAGTATTTCTGAAATTTACCGTTATATGAAAAGCGGCCGCAATTTTAGTCCGATTTCAATAATTTTCAACGTTTTGCTTTTATGTGGCAAGCACAATAAAAATACCGAGTTTGGTACAAATTGGTAGAACGGTTACCGATATACATATAGGTGATCATAAGTGGGCGGTGCCAGGCCCATTTTCCAAAATTTTATCATGAACGTATTTCTTGGTAACCAATTGTGGCAACCATCAATTTTGAATAAATTCGCTTTAATATTTACTGAATTATCAAAGATTTCGTATTTCTCCAAATTACCGTTATATGGGATGTGGGCGTGGTTATTGTCCGATTTTAAAAATTTTCGGCCATTTCGTATCCTGTACCAAGGCCAATAACTGAGCCAAGTTTGGAAATTGGTGCAGCGGTTGCCAAGATATACACATGTAACCATAAGTGGGCGTGGCTGCGCCCATTTTCCAAAAATTTTTAATATTCTTAGTTTTCGTCTGAAAATTATTGTAATATCAATTTTGAGTCAATTATCTTCAGTAGTTACTAAATTATCGCAGTTTTCGTATTTCTGGAAATTACCGTTATATGGGAAGTGGGCGTGGTTACAGTCCGATTTCGCCCATTTTCAATACCAACCTACCTTGGATTAACGAAAACCTACATACCAAATTTTGTTGAGATATCTCAATTTTTGCTCGAGTTATCTTGTACACGGACGGACGGACAGACGGACAGACAGACATGGCTTAATCGATTTCTCTATTCATTCTGAGTATTTATGTATACATTTGTTACAAACAACCGTTATGTGTACAAAATTAATATACCCTTGTGCACAAGTGCGCTCGGGTATAAAAACGGCACTCAAGTACACGATACATTGACAAAAATGGTACTAGACTGTCTCGCTTTGATTTCGGAATGCTTACACATTGAGAAGTTAGCTTACTGCCAATATAGAAGTATTACATATATGAAAAAAAGTTTAACATCGGCCGATCGAAGCAACATCAGCCATAGCATCGAATATATATACAATTATTTTCAAACACCAATTAAAATTGCATTTTTCGAAAGTGCATGAAACACGTAATTTTGATGTCCGAGTAAAATAATATACTAAAATTTCTAGTGATTCGGAGAGATACACTGAGGAAAAAATGTCGGCCTAAAAATAAGAACAAACTAACTCTATTTAAGTATATGGAATCTAAATATTTCATTCTTGACATAAGAATTTCGTACTCAAATCAAATGTGATGCGTCTTTATTATGACTACGAGTATTTAATTTTAAGGAACATTATAAAGGAAAAGGTTGGGTTAGTTATCACAACCGTTCACATTTCGACATAGAATGTTTGATGTATGTATATGAACAATATTTCCACAAAGAGACGCATGAAAAAATTAATGATATATGCTTAATTTTTTAAGTTTGCATGATCTTAATTACGGTATTTGGTACTCAAAAATATCACACTTAATATAAGATTTGTGTTCTCTATTTTAGTATTTTCAATCTAAGTCTGATTTTAAGTTCGGAAATGCTAGGATCGAGTACGAAAAAACGTGATTCCTTCTCTAAGTGTAGGTGCAGTCGCCTTGCATGATTTGAGATGGAATTGGTCATGTATTTTAGTGTAGGCAATAAGCTATCTACGTAGCAAATTTCATGCAAATCGGACCTACCTGAAACAATAATCAATTTTAAATTTAATTTTAAAATTTCATTAAAATCAATTGAGTAGTTTTTAAGTTAAATCGGCAATAGTGTTATTATATCTGTATGTATGTATACAGATCAGGGATGTTGCGAATATTTGCATTCGCATTCGGAATGCGAATTATACGAATGTTTTGCGAATGCGAAAGTGTACATGGGCAGAGAATCCACTATAATATTGTTGAAATTGCTCTAAGTCTGTCTAACCAAATTCTAATCTAATTTCAATTTTTTTTTTTTAATTTCTATAATCAAATTTATTAGTATGTAATTAGTAATGAAGAGTTAAAAATTTATTAATTTTTTATTACGAAAAGAAGCATTTCCGAATTACCCGTCAAGAACCCGTTTTTATTTTCAACCTAAATGCTACCTGATGCACTAAACACTATTTTTGAGTTCACTGGGGAAGATGGTTCGCAGAGATACTTCATTGCCAGTTAAAAACAAAAGGAAATTATTTGCGACTATATCCTCCTAAAAGTCTATTACTGAAATTCTGTGCACTTACCGAATGATCGCCGTGTCCCGCGCGCTCGGATACTAATGGATAGTCTTCGGGTATGTCATCATAATTTTGCGGATTGACGGGGTCAGTTGTGCTTTCATATTCAGAATCCTCTTCAATATTCAGTTCACTTTTACGATGCACTGTAATGATAATGGGCAAGTCCAGGTGATTTTTACTGCCATCAAAGAATTACATTCATAAGGAATATTGTAGCAAATTTGCATTTAATTATTTTTATGCTTAACTTGCTTTCGAACAAAATCTATTTGCCATGTGTTATCTTTTACAATTTTTAACATAACGTCGCCTGGGTAAAAGATTGTCGTATGTGACGCACGTACGTATGACGCTTACGACAATCTTTTACCGAGGCGACGATAATTTGAATTAGTTTTTGCTCTTTATTTGTTTTTGACGTTTGGCAATAGTTTCTGACTTTTTAAGGACGTATTTATTACGTGCGTACGTATTTAGTTTTTGTCTTTGGAACTTGTATTTCACATCCACAAACTGCGGTTTTACGTTAAATTTGAGTCAAAATCACGACAAAAGTATGTAATTAAATTGTATACGAAAATAAACATTAATCTCAGACAATCTCAATTACCATTACTCTGCTTGTACGAACCAATCGGCTGATTCGCGTCCTGAAATGTCGTTACATCGAACTTTTCCTTGTGCGCACTTGGACCGGCGAAAACTTTTTCCATTTCCGAATCCAAGTAAACCTCGTTTGGATCCTCATTCCCGGTGGACTGCAAATACAAAAATAATAATAATTAATATGTAGATATGTATGCATGTATGCAAGAATGAATATTTCTTATACTTAGTTTACGCATTAAAAATAGTAACATTATTCAATTACATATGTATGTATGGACAAATATAACTGCCGCAAACGTACTGGACGCTTCTACCAATGGACTGCAAATAGCGGCCGTGTGTCACAACCTACATGACAAGACAGAACAACAAGCCCAGTCAAGCAAAAGATGAATAGAATCGGACATTGGCTATCGTTTAGCGGCGACGTTCATCATCAAAATGCATCACATGCGGATGAAGCTGCGTTTTCCAACCGCACGTTGCATCAACAATAAAATGTGGTGGTAGCGTATGCATGTGTGTCGACACCATTGCATGAAGCCGCAAATTTCAATAGAATAGCAATAGCGTTAACTTGCTTGAGTGCAATATTATTAGTTTATTTCAATTGAGTGAATGGCACATGGAACGCATACAAGTCACATGACTTCTATTTATTTAACTGTTGCGACTGTCTGGCATTTTGCTCACTCCTCTGACTATTTGTTTACATTCGCTTAAATCTATTCGAAGGTGAAGAGCTCTGCAGTTTGTAATTCTAAATGGTGGCACGCTACATAAAAAATGCTATAAATTTGTTTTTATAAAAATAATAAACACACATACATACATATACAGTTCGTTGTCGAATATGTATAACGAAACTTATGTTGCCCGCCGAATTCGTAAAATCGAAAAATTCATTAAATCGAGTATTTTTATACCTACCAAATTTAATTAGCAAGGTGTCAAAATTGTGGAAATTTTATTTCGGATTCCGGTAAAATACCTACATATGTATACAGTAAAAATATATCTATATCTTTATCGGAAAATAGGCGTGACAATTTCAGGACCAATGTTAATAATTTTAGATTTTATTGTGGATTTAGGCAGAATATCTAGTCTCTAACAATGTTTGTTCCGCAACTTTTTTTTGTAAGAGAATAAAATTTTGTTTGGAAGTTATTGCAAATGCGTATTCTAAAATTATTTTTAACAAGCTACAGAATCGAGCCCGTTTGTCTACCGTATTAGCTTAGGTAATGCTGAAGATGGGAGCGTTAAACCGAAACGATATTTTAAAAATTGTCTATATACTATAAATACTAGCGTTGCCAAATATCCCGTATTTGCCGGGACGTCCCATATTTTGCATTAAATTTGAAATGTTCCGCCGGGA